CCCCAAAACCCCAAAACCCCTTTAGGAAGTGTATATCTTGGAATCTGAAGTTATTATAAAAATAATTGAAAAATATTACATTCGGTATAGAAGTTGTTTCAAGTCCTATTAAAATTTAAATAAATTTGATTTATAGGCAACTTGGTATTTTCTTTAACTTATAATATACAATAAAAGAAGTAGCTAATAATAATGAATACCATCTAAGCAAACGAAACACAGAAAGATAAGTTATTATAAGAATGTAGACGCTAATGTGAAAAGGTCCTAATTGAATATTAACAAGAAATCGACACAAAATTTAAGATCTCGTACGAAGTTTCTATCAATCTAATTCCAAAAATACCATCAGCAGAGAAAGTGCATGATCTCAGTCAAGAGTCATTGAAAGTTGCAAAAGTATTCAATGAAAATGATCTTATTAATACTCAACTTCAGCAAATAAGCAGCAAATAGCATCTTATATGCGGTTTAAAATTGAAAAACGATTTTGAGAAAGTTCTACGAAATAAGCAAAAGATATAGAGAATCTCACACAACTCATAAAATGACTAAACTAATGCATAATCAGAGAGTCTTGAACATTCATCAATGTTGGAATAAATATAATATCTTGCTATGATTGATGGAACAAAGATAAGATTAGACAAAAATAATGCAAGTACTTAGCTTACTTCAGAGAGTTCTCAGATCTTCCCAATACACCATCCAAATTTCTAGTTTAAATCGGAGCAAAATATAGACCTTAATAGTTAAGCATCAATTGAAAAAATAGAATCATGTTCAAATCAAGAGCATTTATTGGAAAAAAGAAATAATGATATAAAAAAAGAATCCTTTTTTATGCCAAATAAATCTACTTCTACCAACGAGATTGAAAATAAGCTTATAAATCAAATTCAAAAAAATAGTTTGAAAAGAAAGTTAAAGATTAATAAAAGTAGGAAAACTCTGAAAAAGAGACTCAGATCTAATATCATGAAATCAGATGAGTAACTTATAATACTTCAATCTGAATTGAGCAAAAATCAATAATGGACGTCTGAAACTCTAAACAATATTAGCTAAAGACTTGGGCTTAAAAGAGTTCAGGTGTATAAATGGTACTGGGATAGAAAGGAGGAGCTCCTAAAACTTTAAATGGAAAAACTTCAACATTTTGGAAAACTCTTTTAAATCACTAGAGTCAATAGAAATAAAAGTAATTCTGATATAGATTAAGAGATTTTACAATCAATAAAGCAGGAAGTAAGAATATTTAACGTTAAAAAGGTAGATAGATGTATTAATATAAATGCTCTTAGCTCATTGCAGAGATTTACAGATTTTGCATAGGAAAAAATATATTGAGATCCCATTATTTAATTAAACTAAATATTTTTCACTAGCAAAAATTTATTTGATAATTATATAATATTGTAGAAAATTTATTTATGATAACTCTTGATAAGACTCCCATTTAGTCTTGTGGGGTTTCGGGGTTTTGGGGTTTTGGGG